CCCTTATGTATTATACATGGAGATCATATCCCCCCTTATGTATTATACATGGAGATCATATCCCCCCTTATGTATTATACATGGAGATCATATCCCCCCTTATGTATTATACATGGAGATCATATCCCCCCCCTTATGTATTATACATGGGAGATCATATCCCCCCTTATGTATTATACATGGAGATCATATCCCCCCCTTATGTATTATACATGGAGATCATATCCCCCCTTATGTATTATACATGGAGATCATATCCCCCCCTTATGTATTATACATGGAGATCATATCCCCCCTTATGTATTATACATGGGAGATCATATCCCCCCTTATGTATTATACATGGAGAGATCATATCCCCCCCCTTATGTATTATACATGGAGATCATATCCCCCCTTATGTATTATACATGGAGATCATATCCCCCCTTATGTATTATACATGAGAGATCATATCCCCCCTTATGTATTATACATGGAGATCATATCCCCCCTTATGTATTATACATGGAGATCATATCCCCCCCCCTTATGTATTATACATGGAGATCATATCCCCCCTTATTATGTATTATACATGGAGATCATATCCCCCCTTATGTATTATACATGGAGATCATATCCCCCCTTATGTATTATACATGGAGATCATATCCCCCCCCCCTTATGTATTATACATGGAGATCATATCCCCCCTTATGTATTATACATGGAGATCATATCCCCCCTTATGTATTATACATGGAGATCATCCCCCCCCCCCCTTATGTATTATACATGGAGATCATATCCCCCCTTATGTATTATACATGGAGATCATATCCCCCCTTATGTATTATACATGGAGATCATATCCCCCCCCTTATGTATTATACATGGAGATCATATCCCCCCTTATGTATTATACATGGAGATCATATCCCCCCCCTTATGTATTATACATGGAGATCATATCCCCCCCTTATGTATTATACATGGAGATCATATCCCCCCCCTTATGTATTATACATGGAGATCATATCCCCCCCTTATGTATTATACATGGGAGATCATATCCCCCCTTATGTATTATACATGGAGATCATATCCCCCCCTTATGTATTATACATGGAGATCATATCCCCCCCTTATGTATTATACATGGAGATCATATCCCCCCTTAATCTCCTCTTCTCAGTAGAGAATACATTCAGTTCCTCTAATCTTTCCTCATAGCTGATCTCCTCCATCCATGCCTCGTATCAGTTTGATTCCCCCTTCTCTGTACTTTCTCCAGTTCCCCAATGTTTTTTTGTGAATTGGAGCCCAAAACTGAACTGCATATTCCAGATGAGGTCTTACTAATGATTTGTACCGGGGGGGGGGGGGGGGGGTGATATATCTCTCTCTCTCTGGAGTCTATACCTCTCCTAATACAAAGAGAGGTTTTTTGCTCACTTTAGAACCCGCAGCTTGGCATTGCATGCCATTATAAGCTTGTGCAGAACCCCCAGATCCTTCTCCACCATTTGACCCCCCAGATCCTTCTCCACCATTGACCCCCCAGATCCTTCTCCCACCATTGACCCCCCCCCAGATCCTTCCTTCAGATCCTTCTCCACCATTGACCCCCCAGATCTTTCCCCACCACCTTTGACCCCCCCAGATCCTTCTCCACCATTGACCCCCCCCAGATCCTTCTCCACCATTGACCCCCCCCAGATCCTTCTCCACCATTGACACCCCCCCAGATCCTTCTCCACCATTGACCCCCCCCCAGTTGTACCCCCCCTATTTTGTATGATGCATGCATATTCTTCCCCCAAATGCAGAACCTTACATTTATCACATTAACCCTCATTGGCCCCATAGTCCCCCAATTACACAGAGCATTGAGGTCGGCTTGTAAGTTGGAGACATCCTGTAAGGACGTTATTCCCCGGCACAGCTTGGTGTCATCTGCAAAGACTGGAATGGGATTTATAATCTCACACCCCATATTGTTTTATATATATATTAATAAGTAAGGGGTCCCAACACTGAACCTGGGGTACCCCATTAATAACACTGAACCTTTGGGTACCCACTAATAACACTGAACCTTGGGGTACTCCACTAACAACACTGAACCTTGGGGTACCCCACTAATAACACCTTGGAGATGTTGTGGAGGTGGAGTCTGCATGAGTTTGTCAGTGAATGGACCCGGGGCTGGAAAGTCAGATTGGAGTCTAGGATGACACCTAGTACTCTGGCATGAGAGGTGGGACTGATGGTAGTGTTGATGGTCATGATGGAAAACTCAGGGGGGTCGCAGGCTGGTGGGAGAACTAGGAGCTCGGTTTTGGAAAGATTCAGTTTGAGGAAGTGGATTGACATCCAATACGATATGTCGTTTAGTAGGCTTGCGATACGGGCGGAGACTGAAAGGGTGAGGTGAGGGGTAGAGAGATAGATTTGCATGTTGTCGGCATAGAGATGGTAGTTGAAGCCGTGAAAATGTATTAGTTGGCCAAAGGAGAAAGTGCAGATGGAGAAGAGAAGGGGCCCGAGGACAGAACCTTGAGGGACCCCAACATAGAGGGGGAGTGGGGAGGAGGTGGCAGCATTATAGGTAACACTGAAGGAGTGCTGTGATAGATAGGAAGAGAGCCAGGAGAGAGCGGAGTCTCAGAGGCCAAGAGAGTGCAGTTTTTTTGAGGAGGGGGTGGTCAACCATGTTGAAAGTCGCGGAGAGGTTGAGGAGTAGGAGCACTGAATAGTGGCCGTTAGCTTTGGTGGTTAACAGGTCGTTGGTGAGTTTGAGTAGGGCAGTTTTGGTGGAGTGTAGGGGGCGGAAGCCAGACTGTAGGGGATCAAGGGTTGTTGTCGGTGAGGTGGGAACTCAGGCGGATTTAGACTAAGTGCTCTAGGAGTTTGGATGAAAATAGCAGCAGGGAGATGGGTCTGAGGTTATTCAGGTCGGTGGGATCCAGGGAGGGCTTTTTAAGTATGGGAGTGATGTGCGTGTGATTCAGAGGCAACGGGAATGCACCAGTAGAGAGGGAGAGATTGAAGATGTGTGTGAGGGAGTGTAGGATGGAGGAGGAGGGTGATCGTATTAGTTTTGAGGGGACAGGGTCAAGGGGGCAGGTGGTGAGGCGGGCTTCAGAGAAGACCTTAGTGACCTTTTCAGTGGTAGCAGGGTCAAAGGAGTGTAGTGTTGAGGGGTTTTAGTGTGAGGGATGTTAGGTGGGGTGGAAGTCTGGGCAGTGGCGATGTCCCTACGAATTGCGTCGATCTTGTTTTGGAAGTGGTTAGCAATCTCGTGGGCGGTGAGTGAGGTACTGGGTGGAGGTGGGGGCAGAGAGAGTAGAGAGTTAAAAGTAGAGAAGAGCCAGCGAGGACTGGAGTAGAGGGTATTAATGAGAGTAATAAAGTAGGCTTGCTTGGCAGCGTGGAGGGAGGAAGTATACGTTAGGAAGGCAGATTTATATTGGGTGAATGCTTGTTGGGATCGATCGTTAGTCGCTCCAGCGCACGACTGCATCATTTGAGATTTTTGGTATGGTCATTCTGCCAGGGTTGAAGCGGTCGGGGTTTAATGTTTTGTGTGGTTAGGGGTGCTAGCGAGTCTAGAGCGGCTGATAGCGAGTTGTTATAAACAGTAGTGGCCAGGTCAGGGCAGGACAAGGGAAGGATACTGTTGTAAAGTTGGTCAGCTGCAGGGTAGAAAGGGGCAGGGTTCAAGTTGCAGAGTTTTCTGCTGGTGATAGTTTGACGTTTCGAGGGATAGGTGTTTGAGGACGAGGAGATGGAGAAGGTAATGAGGTTGTGATCAGAGAGAGGGAAGGGGGTGTTTGTGAGGTTGTGGGGAGTTTAGAGATGAGAGAAAACAAGGTCCAGGGTGTTCCCTGTGGAGGATTTGGGATGTAGCCGGATTGTTGATGATAGGGATGTTGAAGTCTCCAAGGATGATGGTGGGTAGCTCGGAGGAGAGAAAGAAGGGTAGCCAGGCGGAGAAGTCGTCGAGGAAGTGGGAAACGGGTCCAGGAGGCCGATAGATTACTGCAATCCTCAGAGGGATTGGAGAGAATAGCCGGATGCAGTGGGCCTCGAAGGAGGAGAAGGATAGAAAGGGAGGGTTTGGGAGGACCTGGAAGGTGCTCAGCGGTGACAGGAGCATACCAAACCCACCACCTTTTCAACCGCTGGGTCTGGGTGAGTGGGTCCAGATGAGACCTCCATAGGAGAGTGCCGCAGGGGAGGTAGAGTCAGTTGCTTGTATCCAGGTTTCGGTGATCGCATGGAGGTTGAGGGAGCGGGAGACAAAGAGGTCGTGGATGGCGGTGAATTTGTTGCAAATCGATCGGGCGTTCAAGAGTGCACACGAAAACAGGGAGGTGGTTTTGGGGAGCAAAGGGACAGGTATTAGATTGAGGGGGTTGCGGCAGTTTGTGGAATTAGGAGGGTGCCTAGTGGCTGAGTGAGGTGGTGGGGGACCAGGGTTTGGGGAGATGTCCCCGGCGGTTAGGATAAGAAGAAGAGTGAGAAAGGTGGCATTGGAGCAGGATGTACAAGTGCGCGTAACTCTACTAACAACACTGAACCTTGGGGTACACCACTAATAACACTGAATCTTGCAGTATCCCACTAACAACACTGAACCATGGGGTACCCCACTAACCCCTTCCATATCGGGCACTTTTACTTACTTCCCCCAGGCCAATTTTCAGGTTTCAGCGCTCTCACACTTTGAATGACAATTGCGCGATCATACAACATTGTACCCAAACTAAAATTTTATCATTTTCTTCACACTAGAGCTTTCTTTTGGTGGTATTTAATCACCACCAGGGTTTTTATTTTTTGCTAAATTAACAAAAAACGACCAAAAATTTGGAAATAAAACTGCACGTTTTTCTTTGTTTCTGTTATAAAAGTCTGCAAATAAATAATCGTTCTTCATAAATTTAGGCCGAGATGTATTCTGCTACATGTCTTTGGTGAAAATAACCCAAATTAGAATTTATGATTTAGTCTGTAGGGAAGTTATAGAGTTCACAAAGTATGGGAGATATCTGAAAATTGATGGATCCTGAAGTACAGGACAGTACAGCCAATCTAATTTCTTGAGGTCCAAGAATGTCAGAACAGTACAGATATCCCCCAAATGTCAGGTCAGTACAGATATCCCCCAAATGTCAGGACGGTACAGATATCCCCCAAATATCAGGACAGTACAGATATCCCCCAAATGTCAGGACAGATATCCCCCAAATGTCAGGATGGTAAAGATATCCCCCAAATGTCAGGACGGTACAGATATCCCCCAAATGTCAGGATGATAAAGATATCCCCCAAATGTCAGGACGGTACAGATATCCCCCAAATGTCAGGACGGTACAGATATCCCCCAAATGTCAGGATGGTACAGATATTCCCCAAATGTCAGGACGGTACAGATATCCCCCAAATGTCAGGACAGGACAGATATCCCCCAAATGTCAGAACAGTACAGATATCCCCCAAATGTCAGGACAGTACAGATATTCCCCAAATGTCAGGATGGTACAGATATCCCCCAAATGTCAGGACAGGACAGATATCCCCCAAATGTCAGGACGGTACAGATATCCCCCAAATGTCAGGACGGTACAGATATCCCCCAAATGTCAGGACGGTACAGATATCCCCCAAATGTCAGGACGGTACAGATATCCCCCAAATGTCAGGACGAACAGATATCCCCCCAAATGTCAGGACGGTACAGATATCCCCCAAATATCAGGATGTACAGATATCCTCCAAATGTCAGAACGGTACAGATATCCCCCAAATGACCCCTTTTTGCAAAGTAGACAGTCCGATGTATTTCATAAGAGGATTGGTGAGTTTTTTGAAGTTGTAATTTTTTTGTCATAATTTTTCAGAAATGAAAAAAAATAAAAAAAAGATTTTCACTATTTTTTTTTACATACTGTCACCAGAGCAGTACAGCGTCATCATATAACTGACATGGCGGTGATCAGGGACACTGACTGGTGACAGTACGAAAAAAAAAAGATTTTTTTTTATTACATTTTTTTCTCTTTTTTAAGATTGTTTTTTCATATTTCACTATGACCAAAGTAGTAAAATATTACCATAGTAACATTGTACTACTTTGGGGAAGTGATCAGTATTTTTTTTTACACAATTTGCTTATAGCAAATAATTACTTTTGCTAGAAGCAAGCATTTACCTGAATGAAATCGATTCATTCAGGGTTTTTTTTTGTGCTTAGCTGTGATTTGGCCACGTCTAATCACATGACACAGCTGGGCTGTGATTGGCCTAGTTTGTGCATGTGATCTCTGTGACCATTCACAGCTAGACACACTTGTATACAATAGATGGCATGAAAGGAAGCCATCCATTGTATACAACTGTCATGTGACCTGCAGTGATTGGTCACATGGTACTGGCAATGGGGCCAGTACACAGATCTGTAATTGCCCGTGTCCGACGTACACGGCCAGTGAAATATCGCGTCGCTCTGCGGGCATGCAAACTGCGCATGCCTGAAAGGATGCCATATAGCATCCACCCGGAGGGACGAGGTGCTCGCCCGGCCACCATCTGGCCATAGGCCAGACGGGAACCGGCTAATAACACTGAACCTTGGGGTACCCCACTAATCACACTGAACTTTGGGGTACATCACTAATAACACTGAACCCTGGGGTACCTCAATAATTACACTGAACCTTGGGGTACCCCACTAATCACACTGAGCCTTGGGATACACCACTAAAAACACTGAACCTTGGGGTACACCACTAATAACACTGAACCTTGGGGTACCCCACTGACACCCCTAGACCAATCAGAGCATGAATCATTAACCACTACTCTCTGAATACGATCTTTTAGCCAGTTTTCTATCCATTTATATTTGGATTTTTCCAGCCCATAGACTTTACTTACACATTAGCCATGTGTGGGGAACTGTGTCCAAGTATACCACGTCCACCGCCACCCCTCTGTCCAAGTATACCACGTCCACCGCCACCCCTCTGTCCAAGTATACCACGTCCACCGCCATCCCTCTGTCCAAGTATACCACGTCCACCGCCACCCCTCTGTCCAAGTATACCACGTCCACCGCTACCCCTCTGTCCAAGTACACCACGTCCACCACCACCCCTCTGTCCAAGTATACCACATCCACCGCCAACACTCTGTCCAAGTATACCACATCCACCGCCACCCCTCTGTCCAAGGATTTGCTCACCTCCAACCTAATCTGTTTCATGATGGTTTAATCCCAGCTCACCTCTACATGTTGTCTACAGTAAACATTTAAGCTTCCATTAAATACAGAATACTAATACTGTGAGTCCTGACCCCTGCACTATATACCCTGTTGTACATTACATACTCCTGACACCTGCACTATATACTCTATGTTGTACATTACATACTCCTGACCCCTGCACTATATACTCCATGTTGTACATTACATACTCCTGACCCCTGCACTATATACTCTATGTTGTATATTACATACTCCTGACCCCTGCACTATATACTCTATGTTGTACATTACATACTCCTGACCCCTGCACTATATACTCTATGTTGTACATTACATACTCCTGACCCTTGCACTATATACTCTGTTGTATATTACATCCTCCTGACCCCTGCACTATATACTCTGTTGTACATTACATACTCCTGACCCCTGCACTATATACTCTATGTTGTACATTACATACTCCTGACCCCTGCACTATATACTCTATGTTGTACATTACATACTCCTGACTCCTGCACTATATACTCTATGTTGTACATTACATACTCCTGACCCCTGCACTATATACTCTATGTTGTACATTACATACTCCTGACTTCTGCATTATATACTCTATTGTAACATACATGAGACATAAATGTACAGATATGAGTAGATGCGATGTGATCAATAGCAATATGTAATCGTAACTGTAGGGACATTCCATTGTCATTAAGGATGAATATTCAGTCCTTGTCATCGGGGAAATGAGGTACTCAGATAGTGGTCATCAATTAGCATCAATAAGGCTGAAAAGCCCTGCTTCCGGGATGTGACACCTTCTGGGGAAACCGGTTTGGAGGAAGTAGCCCCAGACAGGGTGTCTGCCTGACATTGGAAGCTCTAAAAGGAGTATATCCATCCATCAAAAGGGGTATGTTTCATCTCTCATAAAAGTTAAAATATTAGTTGCAGAGAGATGAACATACTCCCTTCTTGTAGGGCACTTTGCTTGCTACATCGGCACTAAAAATCATATTTGTGGTTTAGGCAGAAGGCCAGGAAAATGCAGGGAATGGTTAGGTGGCACTGGATGGCGACAGTCGAATAGTGTTTGGTACTGTCGCGATCGGACTGATGCGCTGGTGCCAGAAATCCAATCCACCACTTGTTTCAAGCTGGCCTTAGTCCGATTGAACTTGGGCAGGTCAGCACCCAGAACATCCTGTGGGCGGGTGCAGGAGCAGCCCCCCAGGGTCAATTGGCCGAGGACAAATATCCCACCTACGTCCATATCCCCATAAATGTAATACCCGGGCATTGGGACATTGGTAATTCGTATGGAGCCGGTTTGATTTGACTGACGGATTGCTGATTCTCTGACTTGCTCCAGTCGCAGGATAGATCTCGGTAAAAGTTTTATTCTGTTTTATTCCCTTTTATTTTATAATGAATAGTCATTTGTGTGTCTTCTTGTATTTTTTGTATTTCTGTAACTTTTTATACTTTGTACATATTTTATGCTCCGGCCCACTTTCGGGAAATTAAATCTGAAAATTAATTTGTGACTTCTGTGTATTTAAGCACGTGCTCATATCTTCGGAGAGATTAGATTGGATTAGATTAGATTGTATTGTACTTTAGTGCCTTTAAATGCTCGGTCAAGCTCATTGCCATTCTGTATGCAATTGCACTGTGTGTGGGGCAGATTGTATGCAGATTGTAAAAGGTAACAGATCAGCCAGACGGAGATCTGTGTGTGTTGTCACAACAGACAATCCTGCAGATAAACTGTTGGGTGGTGGCCAGCTACCTTTTGTGGTGTGTCTGGTGCAGGGGGGGTGTGGACAGTGGAAGGGTGATTAACACCGGGGTTCAAGCTGTAGTTAGCTGGAGGGACTCTAGAAGAGTGTGATTACTAAGCTGCTCCTCAACTCTAATCAGTACATCAGATTGTATATAAGATTTGTAATTGCCAGTGTGTGGCCCCACCAGCTGGATTGGAGTCTCCATCTGGTGGTGGCCAAAGGTAGTGTGGGCTGTGATTGTATAAAAGATTTGTATCTGCCAGTGTGTGGCCAACCAGCTGGATTGAAGTGGAGTCTCCATCTGGTTGTGGCCAAAGGTAGTGTGGGCTGTGAAAGGGTATCACGGCTGATCTTATATACGGTTTTATATATTCAAAGTTGAGTCCCCTTTATTCCCTCGTACTCCAAGTCACAGCCGCATGTGTGCTCCTCGGTTAGCTAGTCGCTGTGGGCGTGGCGTGTGGGGGATCCGTGACATCTATGTTGTACAATACATGCTCCTGACCCCTGCACTATATACTCTATGTTTATACATTACATACTCCTGACCCCTGCACTATATACTCTATGTTGTACATTACATCCTCCTGACCCCTGCACTATATACTCTATGTTATACATTACATACTCCTGACCCCTGCACTATATACTCTATGTTGTACATTACATACTCCTGACCCCTGCACTATATACTCTGTTGTACATTACATACTCCTGACCCCTGCACTATATTACTCTATGTTGTACATTACATACTCCTGACCCCTGCACTATATACTCTGTTATACATTACATACTCCTGACCCCTGCACTATATACTCTATGTTATACATTACATACTCCTGACCCCTGCACTATATACTCTATGTTGTACATTACATCCTCCTGACCCCTGCACTATATACTCTATGTTATACATTACATACTCCTGACCCCTGCACTATATACTCTATGTTGTACATTACATCCTCCTGACCCTGCACTATATACTCTATGTTTATACATTACATACTCCTGACCCCTGCACTATATACTCTATGTTGTACATTACATACTCCTGACCCTGCACTATATACTCTGTTGTACATTACATACTCCTGACCCCTGCACTATATACTCTATGTTGTACATTACATACTCCTGACCCCTGCACTATATACTCTGTTATACATTACATACTCCTGACCCCTGCAATATATACTGTTTGTTGTACATTACATACTCCTGACCCTGCACTATATACTGTTTGTTGTACATTACAAATTCCTGATCCCTGCACTATATACTGTTTGTTGTACATTACAAACTCCTGCCCCTTCACTATATACCCTATGTTGTACATTACATCCTCCTGACCCCTGCACTATATACTCTTTGTTGCACATTACGTTCTCCTGACCCCTGAAACTATATACTCTG